CTTTTGAAAAACTCATGAAACAAGCAGAATAATAAGACTCTGCACAGTGAATAAGAGATACTTTCATAGCTCGAGAACAAAGCAATGTGTAGTCTTGACAGTAAACATATACTGTAAGGCCAGCTACTCCCTGAGAAAACCCTCAGCCCCCCCCCTCCCCAAATTAACTCAGAGCACCTCTAGGGATGGAGGGTGCATGACGCCTCCACGATCCACCTCCAGTGTGCGGGCAGCTGCGGTGGACTCAGACCGCCACTATTTCATTGCTGCCAGAAACTCAAAATTAATCAGAGGTGGGTTGGTGATGCACACCTATGGTCCCAGCTGCCAGAGAAAGAGGCAGGAGGACTGAATCTGAAGCCAGGCCACACGAACGCAGGAGACCAATCTGAAAAAGGACAGGAAAGGACTGGGGCTCTGCTCAAGTGCACTAGCAGGCATGAGCCCTGAGTTCAACCTTCAATACACACACACACACAGACATATGCATATACACGGTGTGCACACACATGCACATGCACACATACAACATTAAACAAGTAGGGGAACTTACAGAAGAAAGAATTCTGAAGATGTTCCTAATTAGGGCCTGAAACAAAGCTGGTGCGAAGCAAAATTTTGTCAGAAAAAAAGGACAAAATGAGAGAAAAGAGTAGAGGGAGAGAGGCAAGATTTGATATTTTGCCCTTTTCCTGAGAGGCGCCTATGGAGCAGCCCCTGGGATCTCCATGGCTGTGGATCAGAGGTGGCTGGCTGCTGGTCATTTTAAATGCCCACACCCACAGAGACGTGGGCTGGGCCTCTGTTAACCTGGCCCATTTCTCACCTGGGCCGCACCTGGCCACATGTCACCTGTGCTCACATTCTCCACCTGGGCCACACCTGGCCACACGCGTCGCCTGTGCTCATGCTTGTCACGTGGACAGCAGGAGTGAACACCAGGCAACCTTCCCCAGCAGGCCCAAAATATGAAGTCGGCTCCTTCATGTGAGGAAAAAGAATGAGCTCCCACATCTGCAAAGAATGCCTTTTAAAGGAATGTCAAATATGAGGAGGACTGCTTATGCCAGAGGCTTAGGCCACCCCTCCTGTGGCCAGGCCTGGGACCACAGTCACATTCTTGCTTTGATGTCTTCAAACCCATGGATGTGCCAAAGTTGTGCAAACGCATGACACAGACCACAGGATATGAATCATTTATCATCCAAATACCAAAGGGAATCTTGATATCATCTCATTGGAGACTAGACCTACCTGGGAGGGGCTGTGGACATGGAGAGTCCTGGCCTCCCAAACACCCTGTGCTCCCCAGGGGCTGAGGCCCAGTGTGGGCCAAGGAGGGCCGTCTGATGTCCAGATCTGAACCTCTCTGGCTCCCCAGCTCCAGGGGTGCTCAGCCTGTGCTCCCCAGGCCAGGGCAAAGGAGAGCCTTTAGAACTCAGATGGAAGCTCCTCTCGCCCACCAGTAAATCTGCCTTGGAGCTTCCAGATCCTGTCACCATGCTCTCTGTGACTCTGCTTTTGTCGCATCTGTAAAGTATGGATGACAAAAGCAATAATCTTGTCTCTCTCCTTGGTCACACAGGGTGACAGGTGGAAGGGGAGTGGTCCATGTGAATATGTTGCTCTGACTACCATCCCCACCCAAGAGGCAGTGCTACAATCACTCCTGATCACTGCTCAAAGCCCACCACCACTGTGCAGTGCTGAATGCCCACATCAGCAGCACAGGACACAGGCCGCAGGTAGCCAAAGCTACCTGGGGTGGGGTGGGAGGGTGGGAGGGGGGAGGAGGGAAGGTGGGCGGGACCAGAACGAGTCTTCCCCAGGGGACTACTGGTGCGCAGAGGGGGGGGGGCTACCTCTACCTCCCCTTCTGCCTTCCTGGCCAAGGCCCTTAGTGACCTTGCTGGCAGGGCCTGAGCTGGGGCCTGACAAGGGCCCTCCCCCTGACAATAGCTTTCTTACATTCTCTTTGTCCCATGTTTTCTCAAGATAAAACTCTCTTAATAGGCTGAGTGCCAATGGCTAACATGAAAAGGTATACAAACTGTTTATTTTACCATGCTTTAAGATAAAATAATATGTAAAATAGGATCTTTAAGCCCTAAAATCACTCATTTACCTAATTTTTTTTTTCTGATCCTGGACTTAGGTGTTGTCCCTGAGAAAAAGTGTCTCAAAGAGTTTCTTCCCGGGGCTAGCTTCAAACCGAGATCCTCAGATCTCAGCCTACTAAGTAGCCAGATTACAGGCATGCTCCACCAGCACCTAAGTCATTCATCCAATTTTAACTTGAATTAAATGATTAGATAACTCTCAATGAGAGAAACATAAAAACAAGTTACTCTAAACTTGTTCCTCAGAAACATTGCAAGAAAATACACACGTATGTTGTAGGTGTGAAAACTATACCAGGAGCCAGGGTCCACCTGGGAATAGAAAAGAGGCAGAATCCCAGGGCCTGTCTCTCAGAAAACCTGGAACAGAGGGAGGCTCTCAAGTATCTCCGCCTCAGGCCAGGCCACTGTGGGAGGACTGTTTTTGGCAGTCCAATAATCAGCTGTGGGAGGAAAGGCCCAGACATCACTGGGCACGAGGAGGGGCAGGCATGGCCACGGCTCACCAATCTGAGCCAGCCAGCGGTGGGTACTTTTTGTAGTTTGAAAATGCAGCATCCCCCCAGCCTCATGTGTTAAAGCCCAAGTCCATAGCCAGTGGAGTCATTCTAGGAGGTTCTGGAAACTTAAGGAAGGAGGGCCTGGGTGGAAGAAGCAGATGTCCAGGCCAGGGTTCTCATGGGTGCTTTCCCCCAGATGCCCTATTCTGTCCCTTTCTCCACCACCACCTCACACCACCTCCACACACCACCTCCGCACACCACCACCACCTCCACCTCACACTACCACCTCCACCTCCACACACTACCACACAACATACATTGCCAACACCTCCACACGCCACCATACACCACCTCATACTGCCACCACCTCTACACACTACCACTACTACCCCCACATAACACCACCACCACCACACAACACATATTACCACCAGACCACCTCCACCTCCACACACCACACACCACCCTGGTGGTCTGTCCAGGCACATGGTACTTCTAACACCATGAGTTAAAAACAACCCTCCCTCTCCTAGGATGTTTTCTCAGCTATTTGTTCACAGCAACATAAAGATAATACCAAGACTAGAAGTAGAGTCACTGCTGACCATGTGGATCTGAAATTTTTAGGACTTGTCTATGGGAGGAATCTGAAATATGGCAAAGCAGGCTACAGAAAATACAGAATTCTGCAAGAACAACTTAACCAAAAATTTGGTAGAGCTAGAAGACTACAGAGTGTCAATGAGAAGTCAGATGGTGAAGGTTACTTCATGTGATTTCAGACACTCATGCCACATTTTTGGCAAATAATATGTGTACATTTTGACTGTGTCCTGAGGCTGAATGGAGCTGAATTTGAAAGCAATGCCTGATTTGGTGGGGGAAATTTTCAAACAGCCTAGGGCTGTGACATGGTTACTGCTAGCTGTTTTTAGGTAGGTTTAAAGTGAGAATCTAGAGAAAACAAGGAGGAAAAAAAATTTAATTATACAGCTTGGCCAGTAGAGGGGCATGTTGGGAGCTGTGGACAGGAGGAGATGGGCACTGGAGGAGGGCTTTGCATCAGGGACAGGAGGAGTGAGGGCATCTCCAGACTGTGGCAGGCTCGAGGGGTAAAGCTGTAAGCTCACTTGAAGGACCAGGGTGCCCGGTTCACATGGGCCACCTGTGGAAGTGCTTTCCCAGAAGCTACGACCAGGCATCACTGAGCAGCCATGACACAAGCGAGGCCTGGACACGCTCACGCTGGTAGCAGACCGCGGCCATTACCCTGGTATGCTCCACCCCACGTGTTACCTAAGGGGTCCTGGTGTCCTCCACCACATGTGCCACCTAAGAGGTCATGAAGGCTTCCACAGAGGTCTCAGAGGAAGGCCTGTGGCCAGGCAGGGCGTGAGAGGGTGAAGAGGGCTATGTATGAAGCTGGGAGGACAAGGCCCATGCTGTACTTAAGAGCCCCCAGGAGGCTGACGGGGACAGGAACATGGAATGACCCCTTAGGAAAGTCACAGGCAACCGGTGAATCCAGCCCCAGCATGGTCATGTGGGCTGCGGACAGCAAGACCACTGGGTCAGGACTAGAAGCCCACTAGACACATGGCACTGGGGTGCCAGCTGCTGGACCCTGAGCTGTAGGAGTTTAAGGTTGCCACTGGGCATTGGCCTTGCTTTTCTGATCCTTATGATTCTCTTATTTCTCCCTTTTGCAATGGGAAAGTTTATTCTGTGCTATTGCATAGAATTGTGGGGTTTTAGAAACTGGCGTTCATTGCTAAGGATTTGCCCTGAGTTTCAGAAGTGACTTTGGACTTGAACTTTTTGAACAATGTTTGTTGAGGCGTCAATGCTCTTGGGGATGGCCATTCACTTGGGAGCCATGAGTACAGAGAGGTGATCTGAACATGAAATGTCCACACACACTCCTGTGCTAATGCCCAGATCCCCAGCAGAGGCACTCATGTGAGAGACACCAGGAACTCTGACTGGTGAGGCCTTCCTGGACATGGCTTGCTGAGCCTGGGTGCTGTTCCCAGGCCCCTCCTCCACGCTCCGCCTCCTCTCCACCAGAGGATGAACAGACTCTGCTGCAACAATGCTTCCCCTAAGTGCATGGTCCATGGAAGCCTGGACTGAGCCGACAGTGTGAGCAAAATTAAACAGAATGAAATCTTTTTCTCAGTACTGGTCAATGTGACAAGAAAGTGACACAGACTGCTTCACTCACCGCACAAAGAGAATTCACATCTGATTTCACTTTCTTCCTGTCCTAGTCTCTCTTTCTCCTTACCTCCCCTCCCCTCCTCTGTCTTTTCCTCAAAGTCAAATCACAAAACAAATAAGGAATTATCTTTTATTGAAAAGTATCCCTGCCCTAACCCAGCATACGTCTGTGCGGAGGGCCTGGTGCCAGTTCCACTTCCCAACTAAGATCCTGAGGACCAGGAAAGCTCACTGAGGAGGGTGCAGGAGGCAGAGGCCTGCAGAGAGGCTGGAAGGCGCTCTCACTCTCGAGATGTCTTCTCACATCTGGCACTGACTGGTCAGCCGTCACTGAGCCAGAAAAAGCTGAAGCTTTCCATCCAAGGTGGCCGTGGCCAGCTGCAACCAGAAACAGCACACAGGTGACTTATCAGCTCTGCAGACGGAGTGCACACCTTGCACTCTCCTGACTCATAATGTTCTGGTACAGAGCAAAGTGCATCAAAATAGTAAAATCCAGAGGCACAACAGGTCTGACATTTACTCTTGATTAATCTACACTACATTTCACTGCTACGTTAACCCTTTCAGAGCCTTGGTCTGGAAATCAATCTGTCTATTCTGAACACAGTTTGTATGGCACACTTTTTTTTTTTTGGGGGGGGGGGGGTGTCCAGTCGTGGGGCCTGAACTCTGGGCCTGGGCGCTGTCCCTCAGCTCTCCAGCTCAAGGCGAGCACTCTACCACTTGAGCCACAGCACCACTTCTGGCTTTTTTTTTTCTGTTTATGTGGTGCTGAGGAATCGAACCCAGGGCCTCATGCATGCAAGGAAAGGGCTCTATCACTGAGCCACCTTCCCAGGCCCAAGGCACATTTTTATGTCTGCATATTATTAACCAATTCTAGCTATAGAACCAGCCACAGGAGAGGGCTCTGGGAAGCTGGCAGGGTGATGCAGGCCTCTGTTTCTCCACCAGAACGACACTGAAGGCTTGCATGTGCTGGGGAAGGATGGGACTGTCAACTGTGGGTAGTTTTTCCAAATCTCATCTCCCACCTCATGTCACACAGACCGGGGATAAGCTGCACACAACCAGCAGGACCCAGGGAGGGCAGAAAGCACTCTTCCTTCCAGGGAGGCCATCTATGCTCTGATCCGTGCGTTTCACTACAGATCACAGAGGTGAAGAGGAAGAGGGTGGTCACTACTGTGGCCCCTTCTCCAGGAAAAGGGATTCTGTTCATGCGGGGGAGGGGGGTGAGAAGGATAGGGGGCAGGGGAGGATGGGAAGGGGAAACAAAGGAGGAGGCTACAATGCTCGGTAAGAAATGTACTCATTATCCTGCCCATGTAATTGTAACTCCTCTGTACAGTATGTTCACAAATAAATAAATAAATAGATAAATAAATAAATAAAAAAGGGATTCTGAGAGACTTAAAGGATCCCCGTCACTTTTCTCTTTCCCCCATTGGAAGCCAGGCATTAAGTAGTATGACATCCACAAAGGAGCACACTGTGAGGAAACGTAAGTATTCAAGGGAACTCCCTGTGTAGGTAGACATGGGAGGACTGGGTTTGTTGATACACATAAAGCATTGTTCAAAGACCTAGACGCAGGAGACACTGTGCACTAAAATTAAGGAGCATTGTGAGACTATAGGATGGCAGACATACAGACATGCAAAGATCCATCAGATTTCAGGTTGAGTGGACAACTTACACAACCCCGGTCGTCACACACCAGTATTTACAGAGCAGCCTGGTCTGTGGCACATACTGTTCTGGAGTAAAACTTAGTTTGTACTTCAAAGGCAAAAACAAAAATTTTATTTCACATTGGAGCAAAATTGTACTTGTTTACAAGCCCCTAAATAGTCTTAACTCAGGCACACATGTCACATGTATTTTAAATCCTGTCTTCATCTGGACTGTGTCAGAGAACAATGCTGAAACCACACACATTTCCGATGTGTTTAAATGAGGTATATCTGTTCTAAACAACTGGCTCTGCAAAACACCACTCCAGATTTCACATGCCTGACGTCCTGGAACAATAATAAGGCTTGCTCAAGGAAACTCTCAGGATAGCTAAAAATATTTTTCAGACATCTGTGGCCCTTCTATTTCCAAACTGTTGAACCAGTAAGGAGAAGAAGGAAGCAATAAAGAAAATGCAATAAAATCCAGTTAGATTCATGCTACTTAGTGAAATGAGTTTGTGGTTGTTTGTCTTCAGATAGGCTCTTGAACTCTATGCAACCCAAGCTGACATCACACACGGGGCTGGCCTTGAACTCTCTATGTAGCTCAGGCTGGCCCTGAACGCTATACACATCCCAGGATGGCCTTGACCTCTCCATGTAGCTAGTCTGGCTTTGAATTAGTAATATTCCTGCCTTTGAATCTCGTGTTCTGGAATTAAACACATGTACCACCATACCTAGTGAGTAACATGAATTTAGGCTGAATGTGAATAAGAATCTTCTGCTGTCTGTTCCTGGCCACTGAAAGTGGAATGTGAAGTAAGTATGTGCTCCTGGTGCCTATCTGCCATTAGTGGATGCCCATGGATCAGTACCGCCGAGTGGCTGAGATGAAAACTGGGTACAGGGAAAGAGGCATGGGTCTACTGCCTGCCAAGCTCAATGGACCCGTGTTTAACTTGATCTTGTGACAACAGAGCTGCAGGAAGATGATGAACAAGCTGTCTGGAGAGAGATCTTTGAAGGAAAAAAGAACATTAAAAGAGGCCCTCTGAAGCCAAGGGACAGGGTGCGTCCCAGGATAGGATGGGAGCCATGATAGTCCAGAAGACATGCCTGGACCTTTCATTGGCAAGGCTCAGAAGCCCAACTTGAACTGAAGTGAAGAAAGACATTTCATCACTGGTCACTGGGATGTCCAGCAAAGCTAAAGAACAAGATGGATCTTGCATTGGGACAGCCAGAGGTTGAGAACTACCATGTGTCTGTGTACTCACTGTTCTTTCTCTCTTTGGAAAGCACATTTCTGTTTTCTTGTTCCTATAGCCCCCCCCCCAAAAAAAACCAGGGCAGACACACACAGCTTGCAGTGGCAGAGACAACCCCCCCCCCCCCCCCGCCACCCTGGCTACTGCCAGGTGTAGCTCTGATCTCCACCTATCACACATTCATTGCCAAAATCTGTCCCAGCTGGAGTCAAAGGCCAGGCCAGTTGCCCTGCGGTTTCTGTGTGAGCCAGGTGGCAAGGCTGGAATCACATTTGGACAGGGGCAACTCTACAAGACGGCCTTGCAAAGGCCTGACTTCAATCCACAAGAAGATGCTGCATGCACTACAGCCTAGTCCAAGCTCCATGGTGATTAGAGCTGAAGCGTTCCATCTGAGCTGGCACATGTGACTGAAATGGCAAGAAATAGGCAAAATAGATAAAGGGTCAAAGTCAGTGTAATAAGATGACGGACCACATCATCTACCTATTGAATGAGGGATGGGAGAACAGATGAGAACGTGGGCTCTCAGCAGGAGTTCCATGAGGAAGAGCAAGTGAAATGACTGACCACAGGGCACCACACGTATGGCCGTCTCCCTCCACGTGATTCAGGAAACCAGCCTCTAAAGCCTGGGTCTTGTGGCTCCAGCCTCATAACTAGCATGGGGTTTAACCAGCACTGCTTCCCAGAGCACCAAGCACAAGAAAAAGCCACACCTCAGCAAGGCCCACCACACTCACTAAAGGATTCCCCACTATGAAGAAGTAGAATTACTTCCTAGAATATAAAGATGGTTCAACACACAAAGGTCAATCAATGTCATGAATCATGTTAGCAAATGAAACAAAAACCCACAGTCAATGCAGAGAACAACTGTGACAAATTCAACAGGATTAAACATTCACCAAACTAAGAACAAAACCTGGATATAAAAAAACCCACAGTGACCATCAAACAATGCTGACAGATAGCATGTATTTCTTCAGGCAGCAGAATGCATAAAGGGTGCCCGCTTGCACCAGGTCTGTTCACACCATCATGGAACTCCTAGTCAGAGTAGTTAGACAAGAACAAGAAATAAGAAACACTTGGTGAGAAAGGAAGATGTAGGATTATCTTTATTGGTAGAGGAGATTATTTTGTACACATAAAGCCCTTAAAAAATTCCAAAAGAATAACTTAGTAACCAAAGTAGCAGGACCTAATCGGTATACAAAACTAAATTGCATTTCAGAGCACAAATAATCTGACAAGTAAGTTAAGTAAAACAACTCCATAACAGCAAATTTAGAATAAAATACTTAGCAATTAACCAAAGTCACAAAATGGAAATTACTGAAAAAAGTTACAAAAGACATGAATTAATGGGAATACATTCCATGTTCCTGGGTTGGAAAACACTGTTAGATGTCCATATCACTCCAAGTGCACGCAGATCCAACACAATCTTAGAGTACCAGTGATCTTTCTTGCAGATTCATATAACATCTCCAAGGACCCAGATTGGTTAAGACAATTTTAATAAAAGATGATCGTGCTAAAAGATAACACTGAAAGATCACCAATGGTGTGTTTCAAAACTTGCACAGAGCTACAGTAACCACAACAATCTAGTACTGGTATAGAAACAGATTTTTTTTGTCGGCCATGGGGGCTGAATTCTGGGCCTGGGCGCTGTCCCTCAGCTCTTCAGCTCAAGGCTAGCGCTCTACCACTTTGTTGAGGAATCGAACCGAGGGCCTCATGCATGCAAGGCAAGCGCTCTACCACTGAGCCACCTTCCCAGCCCCTGAATATTTTAAAAAGAAAATATACAAATGGCCAAAAAGCACATCATCAAACTTTAGAGAAATGAAAATCAAAAGAACAGTTAAACGCTAGCACTAGGATAGCTACTATCAAAAATGAGTAAAAAGGAAGGAAATAACTAATATTGGTGACAATGCAAAGAACTGAAACCCTGTCCACCATCTAGCTGCTGCAGACAACAGTATGGCAGTCCCTTAAAAATTAAAAATGGAGTCATCATGTTATCCAAGAGTTCCCCTTCTGGGTACATGCGTGAAAACTGGCCGTGGGCACTTGAGGATACACTTTCACACGGAGCCACAACACTCTTCTAGACAGTTAAGGCATGTACCCAGTACTGTCAACACTTGGACTGTTCATCACTGCACTGGGCTGATCTAATCTGGACCTGGAGTCTGGACCTGATCTTTGTGGTCCCTGTTGCTACCCTGGGCCCTCACAGACAACCAGGGCAACCTCTGTAGTTCAATGCTGGTGGGTTCGAGACTGTAGAGTCTGGGATTGGAACCTGGACACCTCTGGTACTGCCATTCTTCTCACCACAGCTCTGACCCCAGCTCTTCAGGGACAGCTAAGAACTAAATAATTCCAACTACAGAAGAGGCCACTGAGG